TGATTCACTGTATTAATGTGGTATGATATGTATATTAAGTTTTATATGAAATGTGTATGATTTGTGTATTAAGTTTTTTGTATCAAGTTTTTATGATATTGTTGAATATTAATATCCATAATTAAACTACGTACTTTATGTTTTGATTTGTATATTTAATGTTGAATATATTGTATATGAAAGAATGTTGTAGGTTTGTATGAAATGTGTATGATTATATTGTAGTATGTTTTGTATACTATGTGTATGAAATTATATATTTTTTACTATTACAACATCAATATATGAAACATGTATGAATTATGTATGATTCACTGTATTAGTTTTGTATGACATGTGTATGAAATTTCATATTTGGTTCACTTACCTATCAATATATGAGTAATGTATCAATATGTGTATGATTAATGTATTTAATTTTTACAATTTTTTAGGAGAAGAAGACACAAACACATTTGTCTTCATGTATTAACATGAATGTGTTTGTGTTTGTTGATCTTTTTAGGTCAAGATATGTTTCAACAATTCCTAGATGAAACACCTTTTGGATTTTTTTATAATTTGCATCACATTAAAATCTAATGTCAATTGTTGAGACACTTATTTATACTTGGGAATAAAAATGTTAGGGATGACATGTTTGTCATTAAAGTAAATGGTAAAGAGTTACATTTTGGGTTAAAAGAGTTTGTTGCTATAACTGGTTTGAAATGTGGACCTGTTTCTGATTTTGTATCTGACCCATATGTTCCAAACAGACTCATTGCTGAAACTTTCAGAGATTTTAATAAAGTATCCAAGTCAGATTTTTATCACAAGTTTAAATTGCAAAATTTTTTGGAAGAAGATGACCGTCTAAAAATCGGGATCTTGTACTTTATTTCTTCAATTCTAACTGCACCGGACCCTTCAAAAACAATAATTCCAAAATTGTATTTTGATTTGGTCGAGTTTGGACAGTATGCCACATTACCTTGGGCAAATGAGTGTTTTAATTTAACACACAAAGCATGCAATCAAAAATTTTAAAAAAAAATTCATCGTCATTCAAATTCAGCCAGTTCCACATAGCATTGCAGATATGGTTTTATGAGTTTTGTCATCCATTTGACAACACAATTGCTATACGTGTTTCAAATCGCACAACGAGAATCCTGAACTGGTAGAAACCTAATGACGTCATTTTTTTGATGATTTAAAGAAAACAATTTTCAGAACACATGGCAATTAGGTATTTTTCTTACAATGTTATTACATTCATTATAAATCATTATACATTATACTTTTTTTTTCTGCAGCATAAATTCAGAAATATTATTTTCTCTGAAGAAGAGTTAAATCTCATGGACGAAACAATTTTAAATCAGTCTAGCAGCCACCATGATTCAGAAAATGACAGATCATCGGAAAATCGTGTTGTTGATAGTGAACATAAAGTTGAAGAATTGAAAGCTGATATTGCAGAGGTACAAGTAAAAAATTCAAATTAACATAATTTTTTCTAAAATTACAATATACATATCAAATACTTATTTTTTTTAATTAACAGGCAGAGTTGAAAGAACTCAAAATCACTGTAAGTTCCAACATATTTTTAAATAATTAAATAATACTTTATAATCTATTTATATATAAAAAATTTTATGTACACTGATAAGGTTCACAAGCACATGGCTGATATCAAGAATTATGTTGATAACTCCACCAAACTGATAATTGATGAGATTCGATTGTCAAGAGGAGAACAAATACCAGAAGAACAACCAGAGGTATATATGTATACTTTTTGTATGAATATTGTTTGAAAAATATATAAATTGATGTTTTCATACTAGTTATTTATTTATATTATTATCCCTCTTTTTCACTATTAAATGAACAAATATAACAACACATCATACATATATATATGTGACTTATTTATATATTCATCAGTTATATATAAATGTTATGTATTAATCATGTATGAAATTTGTATTTCTAAAATTACACATAATTAATGAAAAAATGATGTATTAAATTGATATATATGTATACTTTATGTATGAATATTGTGTGAAAAATATATAAATTGATGTTTTCATAATAGTTGTTTATTTATATTATTATCACATGTTTTCACTATTAAATGAACAAATATAACAACACAGCATATATGTGAATTATGTATATATTCATCAGTTATATGTAAATGTTATGTATTAATCATGTACGAAATTTGTATTAATCAGTTAAAAAAATTTTTAGGACTACGTCAACCATCATGCTGCACAATCTGATCCAACAGATATGCCTACAGTTTCAATTGGACAACAAGTCCAAAGTTCAAACACAGCTGGTACGATATATTCATTTTTATCACATAAATGAAAATTTAAGAAATTATTTTTATTTAAATATTTTTCATGTATATGAAGCTCAAAAGTCAACTGATGATTGTTTCAATGTTGATGCACCTACAACGTCAAAATCAAAATCACCAATATTGGACGATTATCCTGATTTAACCATCACACAAATAATTGCACTTGATCCGATTCTTAATGCCACCACCACTCCAAATGTGCGAACAAGACACAAGAGTATGGGAAAATACGATTCTTCTCCTTATATCAGAATGTCGGAAGGAGAAAGCAGTTCAAATAGAGTACCTACATTCTTTCAAATCAAACATCCATTCCAAAATCACAATGGGTTTGATGTTCCAGTTGAACCGATTGAGGAGTTCAATAAATGGATTTTCAAAGATGTGTCAAGCAGGCGTGGCAGGTAATTTGTAAGATGAACAAAATTATTTTATTTAATTTCTAAACTCCAAAATTAATATAACACTTTTTTAAATATATACAGGAAAACAACATATTCCAAAGTTAAAAACACATTTCATCCTCAAATGGACTTTGGCGTTGTCAAAATCGGAGAAAAAGATTTTTTTTTCACATAATGAGTCAACCGGGCAGACCTTGGGAGGACGGGGTAAGACATTTTTTTCAATTAATTATTATGAGTTTGAGTTGCAGTGATATACATATGAATTTTTTTTGTATGAAATATGTGTGAACAGTGAATGAATCAGATAGGGATATTTTATTTTTTTTAAAACAGCATATTAATACAATAATGTATTATCTCCGAAAGAAGGTAAAATACTCCCAGACAGTCACTTCTTACAAAACTGTTGATTGTTGGTTTATGGCGTGGATTGATAACATTGAGAAACAGTGGAGATAGTCAGAATGTGACATGAGATGCATATCACCGGACCATGATGTTGGACAATGCATTAGAGGATATAAGTTGCTTGCTAACATTCCGTGGGATATGGTTGACGAAGTAATCATCCCAGTCAACATCAACACAAATTTCATTGGTTTCTTGTTGTATTCCGAATCAAAAGTAGATGTCTATATGTATATGATTCGATGATGGGAGGATCTATTCATTCAAGGAAAGTTAAACAAGTTGTTGATAAACTTGCAACCATGATTTCTTTATTTCTGACGAGCACAGGATTTTATGGCAAAAGGCTTGATTTGTATGCGAATAATCTCCCTGATTATCAACAAAAGTCTCACTGTGAACCTCTAAGTATCAAGAATGTTACACATATTCCTCAACAAAAGTATGTATACTTCTTACATTATTTTTTATTCATTTTAAATTGAAATTGCTATATATTCATTACCAATTTTTTATTTTTTCAATTATTTTACAGTGATTGTGGTCTATACACATCTCTATTTGCCGAATACATGAGCAATGGTGTTTTTGATATATCACATATTGATATTAATTCAAAATATCATCGTCAAAGATATGCTATATTACTTTGGAATTATGCAAAATCAAAGAATGATGAAGGCGCAATACGTGAAAGTGAAGTTACAGGAACAGTTGCTAGCAAGAAGGGTGGACCTCGAACTTATAAAGAACAAGTTATGGACAGCACCAATTATCATACTCCAAAATTCTGTAACAGGAAGTAGAAATCTTCATGGCACAATGTACATTTTTTCGAATGACTTGTTTTTTTTTAAACTTATGAACAGTTTATGTAATTTCTCAGTTTTTTATTATGAATACTGATGGTTTTATATAAATTATTATTGATTATTACTAATTGTGTCTCACTTTAAATATAGGAACACTGTATGAATCATGTATGAAAATTATATGAATTATGAATGTCATATTAAAATTTGATATATAGAACATAGACAAATGTTATATATATACTTATTTTTTAAAAAAAATTATATAAATGACAGTCTGCTTCAATATATGTTTTTTAAATGATAATAATGACTTTTTTATAAACTGCACTTTTCAATATATAATGTTAAATTATTCCATAAAATTTGTTTTGCATGAATACTATATTAAAACTATACACTCTCAAATACAAACAGAAACAGATGTTATTTATATTACTTGTATGAATAATGTATGAAAAATGTACGAATTATATCATATAAATTCTTACAAGCATAGCGTATGAAAATTATATGAAATTAGTACTGACACATGATTCAATACGACATTATGAATAAATATACAATTATACCTAAATAAATGTGTATGACCTTTTGCATACATTTGTTTTGTATGAATAATATATGAATACTGTATATTTTTAAATATATTTTTCAAAATACAAATAGAAACAAATGTTACCTATATTACTAGTTTGAATAATGTATGAAAACTGTATTAATTATAAGATATTATAATTTGATATGTAGAACATAAACATACATTATTTTTTATATGCAAGTATTAAATGTATAAATGTATAAATTTTGTATGTAGTCCCCATTCATTATGCAATAACTGTATAAATGTTATATGATTATACGACTTATTAATGTTAACATTTGTTAACATATGAACAGTTGTATATACAATGTATGACATTTGTATGAAATGTAATATGATTCAATAAAAAAACATGTTATAACAATGTAAACCCTCAAAAACACAGATGTAACAGTACGAAATCATTATTTTTGTACAGGATAATTTGAACATATCTTCCTATTGTGTCCAACCTGATGGCATCTACTGCATGTGTTTTTTGTCCTCTTGAATTTCACATCTGCGAACCCCTTCCATCGTTCAAATATGGGTCTTCCCGCTGATCTTTTTGGACCAGGCGACATCATTTTAGGATCTGAAATATAACTTGGTATATCCCATGTACTCTCGCACGGGATAGGCTCGACAGGAATGGCATAAACATCTTTTAAATTCTTGAGGCTATAAAAAGCATAACAGAAACCTGCTTCATGTAACTTCCTGTACCGGAGAACAGCAATTGCATGACCACACGGTATCTCATAATGTTGAAATCTTCTGCAACTACACATCCTTGTGTTTAAATTTACTATGTATTTCTTTGCTCCTTCAGCTACAACATGCAGATCAACAGTTGAAGGTATCACCTATGAAAAAAATATAAAAATTTATACATGCTGCAGATTATTAAGAATTAAAAATACAATACAGTGAAACACATACCCTCATATTGCACGACAACGTAATACTTTTATGTAGATAAACATCATTTTTTTTGTCAGATTAGATGTAGTCTTATCAGCCTCCTCATTATGCTTGTGAATCCACCTCTAAATTGTTACCCTTATAAACTCAAGAAGTGAAATCACCGGTAACCTCCGTGCTAATCTGTTAACATTATTCAATGACTCCGCGATGTTTGAAGTCATGGTCCATGTGCGCTTACAATTTGAGTAAGCTCTTGACCATTTGCTATAACCAATATCAAACAAGTATGGTCGTATTTGCATATCTATCTGATCTATTCTTCCCATAATTGTCTCAAACTGTTGTTTTGTATAAGCTTTTGCCAATGAAAAGAACAAAATCTTCAAATCTTCAGTATTTCTATTGAAATTCTTCAACACATTGACTGATAAATGCCATATGCATTCATAATGTTCTGATTCGGGATATACATTTGTTGTCCCTTTCCATATGCTTTCATTTCTGTCTGACATAAAACACATATTTTGTCTAACTCCATATGCTTCTCTAAACTGCTCAAAGAACCATGTTCATGAAGTATCATTTTCAGAATCTACTATCGCATACGCCAACGGAAGTATATGACCTGCTCATTAATTTTAAAAAAAATATCACACAAATCAGAAATATCATTCATATATTTTTTCATTATATTATATAATTAGAAAATTAAATAGGCTAATAATTTACCTCCCGGATCCAATGTGCTTGCAGTTAACATTGTACCACCATATGAACATTTTAATGTCACACCATCAACAACTACAATTGGCCTACAATATTCCCAACCCCTAATACAAGATTCTAAAGCAACAAATGCATATAAAAATGTATCACCTTCATTCCTTTTTATTTTCAAAACTGATCTTGGATATGTTTGCTCCAAAATGTAAAAATAACCTGAAAATAACAGTCCAATTCATACATAAAATATACATATTTTATACATAAAGAATACACGAAACTGTTACAGTACAACACAATGACTAATGTTTAAATTTATCATTATTTTTGAAATTACCAGGTAATCTTGCATAACATTCTGCTGGATCTCCTCGCACCAACTTTACTGCTTTTTCTTTAGCTCTCCATGCCTGTATGTATGTCAACGAAACGCCATGCAATTTCAACGTATCATCAGCTATATCTTTTGGAATATATACCTTAGATGGATCAATATACTTCTCCATTATCAAGACAACTACAATGTCAGTTATCCCTTGACGTCTGGCATAAACTTTTTCTCTAACAGAACATGTGTGCTGAGCAATATACTTCCTAACTTTGAATAAACTCGATTTATTCAAACTAGATGCCCTCATCATTCAAGAACAAGTCTTAGAAATACAATTCAGGTGAAAATTGTTACAAAATTTAAGAAAATATACATTACAATATATACATTATAACAAAACAAATAAAATAATAAAAAATAATTTTAAACTTACTTAGATGCATTACACCGCGCAACCCGAAAGCTGAACTTCTCAACAAGTCCAACATGTCTCATAACCTCCTTAAGGGTTTCTTTATTATTATAAATCTGATTATCAGCTACAAATAGGTAAGAATGATCACATATTATATCATTATTTACTTCACTATTATAATTGACAACTCCGTCTAAATCCATTCCGATCAAATGGATAGAATTGTTGGAATATAGATCTATGTTAGTCTGTGATAATCTAACATCAGAATTTATTCTATCATTAACTATAACTCTATGACATTTGTTATACTGCTCACAATCTTTCAAAGTGATGCATAATGGATATTTTGTAAAAAAATTCAAATTTACCCTCATCTGATCTAGAAAAACCTTTACCCCAACATCATTATGAATTTTTATAGATGGACACATTTCGCTAACTGTATACTTTATCTCAACAGAATTTATATTTTCTTCTATATTTAGCTGAGTTACTATAGCATTAACTAAACCAGTATAAAGAGTAGAAGTATCGTATAGGATGTCCTCCATCTCAAAGTCGACGTATTTCCCTGTTTCACAACATTAAAATTACATTCAGTGCATTCCATAATAAAATTGTAAATTTATTCATACAAAATTAATACACACTTCATACACAATTTATATACAATTCACTTATATATGCAATAACAAAATTTAAATTTAATACACACTTAATACAATGTTTATACACTATAGTAATTTAATACACAATTAATACACTATTTAGTACACATTTAATGCAATGTTTATACAAAATTAATACACACTTCATGCACAATTTATATACAATTCACTTATATATGCAATAACAAAATTTTAAATTAATACAAACTTAATACAACGTTTATACATAACTCATACTATACAATTAACTGCTACATACAATCTAAAATTCACTTTCATACACAATTTATCTAATTTAATAAAAAATTAATACACAGTTAATCAAATTTTTATACAGAATTCATATATATATTACAAATCAATCACTGCTGTGTATGACTAGAAATATTGGCTTTCATATATATTGCATACACTATTTATATACATTACATACAGAAATTAATACAGTTTTCTTATTTAAACAATATACAAAAAAAAATAACATATGAAAATTTAAATATAATATGGAATAGCTTTTACCAAAAAATCACATTTCATTTAACGTTCACACATTATTAATACAAAATGTCAGATATTGTTCATACTATTTCAAAAATAAAAAATTGTAAATTGATCAAAATCTGTAAACTTTTCAATTTTACCAAGTAATCAAATTTCACACCATTCTTCGGTTTAATTACACATGAAAATAAATTTAATATTACGAAATATTTATTATCAGATTATAGAAGCGTTTATTGGTCACCAAACATATACATGGACGAAAGAGTGATTACATTAATGACTTGACTACGATTTTCAGAATTTAGACAGCTTACAACATTGAACAAACTTAGCCATGCTCAGGAAAATAAATAAAGACATATGTTTTCTCAACTATGTTTTAAGGGAAAAAGGTCAAATATGCCCCTAAACTATTTGAAAAGGTTTAGATATACCCTCTGTTTAAAGTTTGGTCCATTTATACCCTCGCCGTCCAACTTTTGGTCTACATATGCCCTTTTGGACGTTAGTTGGCCAACTCGGAATATCCAACTCATTTTACTTTTATTTAAATGCCAAATGGATATTTCACGTCATTTTTATGTATCATCCCTTGACATTTATATTCAAGGGAAAAAGGGTCAAATATGCTCCTAAACTATTCGAAAGGTCTAGATATATCCCGTTTAAAGTTTGGTCCATTTATACCCTCGCGTCCAACTTTTGGTCTACATATGCCCTTATGGGTATTAGTTGGTCAACTCAAAATATCCAACTCAATTTACTTTTCTTTAAATGCCAAATGGGATTTCACATCATTTATATATATTATTACTTGACATTTATATTAAAAGAGAAAGGGGTCACTTATGCCCTAACTATCCGACCCAATTTTAAAACACATATACGACCGTCTTTTAAATGGTTCAATTATGCCCCTAATCCGACTCATATATGTGTGAATTATTTTGTTATTTACATCATCTTTGCCTGCTGCAGCTTGCAGTTGTGTCTGTAACGTTGTTGCGGTGAATTCCTCTGCTCTAGCCCTTACCTGCCAGATTTGCGCCTCCAGCTCTGCGTTGCGCCTAAACGCTTTTCAAACTTCGACTTCCTTTTCCTTTAGTTGTCGTGCCATTGATTCCTCGGTAGTTTCAATCAGAGCACGATAGTGTTCGCCATTTAAATGGTTCAATTATGCCCTAATCCGACCCATATAGGGTATTTAAAAAAAGGGTCAGGTTGTATAGATTACTTAAAAGACGGGTCATATATGTGTTTTAAAATTAGGTCGGATAGTTAGGGGCATAAAATGCCCCTTTCTCGTTTAAAATAAATGTCAAGTAATAATATATAAAAATGATGTGGAAAATCCATTTGACATTTAAAGAAAAGTAAAATGAGCTGGATATCTCGAATTGACCAACTAACATCCATAAGGGCATATGTAGACCAAAAGTTTGGACGCGAGGGTATAAATTAACCAAACATTAAACGGGGGTATATCTAGACCTTTTGAATAGTTTAGGGGCATATTTGACCCTTTTCCCTTGAATATAAATGTCAAGTGATAATAATAAAAATGACGTAGAAAATCCATTTGGCATTTTTGAATAAAAATAAAATGAGTTGGATATTCCGAGTTGGCCAACTAACGCTCAAAAGGGCATATGTAGACCAAAAGTTGGACGGCGAGGGTATAAATGGACCAATCTTTAAACGGAGGGTATATCTAAACCTTTTCAAATAGTTTAGGGGCATATTTGACCCTTCTCCCATGTTTTAAAGCTGAAAACAATCGAGCGATGAACAAACCAAAAGACAAGTAAAGATAGTTTCCTTTAAAGATAGACATAGACAGTTTCACGCGTGAAAGGAAGGTGACGCGCACGGGGGCAGCGCTGGGCTCGATTTTACGTCTGAATTTGATGTCTGAATTACACGCAAGGAAAAACACGCTGGTGCTCACGCTGAGGTGCTGAGTCTCTTTCTTTTGCGCGTGAATCGCTAACATCCGCTTTTGGAAAGTTGGGCTCTTAGGGCTGACTCGGGTCAAAAAGAGGTGTGGGCTTCTTTGGAATTACTGGAAGAATAAGGATTTAGGCTGGCAGGAAATTCGTCTGGAAGGAAGTAGAATTTGGGCAATTTTCACATATAGCAAATGAAAAATTTATATTTGTATACTATAGCAAAGTTTGCATAATTACTCAACATAGTAAACATAGAAACTGTATAATTCGCTATACATATACAGTTGAAACAAATTGTATAAAACGAAGTGTATAAAACAAGAAAGAGAAAGACACTTGGACAGATAACTGTATAAAAATGAAGTGTATAAAACGAAATTTATTATTATAAGTGTATAGAACGATTATGTACAATTTGAATATGTATAAAATGAGAAAGAGAGAAAGACAAAAGAGACTTGACAAGGAATATACAATTGAATCAAATTGTATAAAACAATAAAGAGAGAAATTAGATACAATTTGAAAATTGTATAAAACGAGAAAGAGAGAAAGACAAAAGAAACTGGGCAGGGAGTATTTTTATTGTATAATTATAAGTGTATAAGACGAAAATATATGTACTTGCATGTGTATATACAACTTTCTCACGATTTATACAAACAGAAACACAATTTATACATTTCGCTTCTGTTTGTATAAGTGAGAAAGGCGAGGGTGGCGAACGAGATTTGAGAGAGTGGCGAGCGAGATCTGGAAGAGGGAGAGAGGGAAACAAAAGTATATGTATTTATACAAGTTTCTCTACTTTATACAATTAGAAACAATTTTTATACACTTGTATTTGTATAAAAAGTGAGGAAGCGAGCGAGAGATTGGAGGAGAATGACGAGCGAGATATTTAGGAGAGAGGCGTCTGGCAATTTTTTCTGTAAACGTTTGCTATGGAGCACAATTAAATCAAACCCTAGCTACTCCTTTTAGGTTATTAGTTTGCTATTATATACAATTTTTCCTAAAATTTGCAATCAGCAAATGCCCCAAATCGGTTTCCCAATTGAGAGAGGGATTAGATTTTTGAATTAAGGATTTGGCCATGGATTGCAATTTTGGCCTAATGAATTTTAAATTTTTTAACCAAAATGAATTGATTAAGAAATTCGACCAAAACTTAAATACATTGAATCGTCATTTATTAATTAACGAGCTTCTTCACTTTAACGAGATGAGATAATTAATTTAGCAATAAGCTAAGGAATCAAAATATAAGATACTAATTTTGACAAATTAATTTAATAAAGTGTTAAGTAAAACTAAAATCTTTTAAGACGAATTTCGAATATTTTATAAAAATAAATTTAATTATATAAAGACGTATAAAAATATATATTATTCAAATATTATAAAAATCGACTAAAGCTATTTTGAAATGACTTAAGAAATATTTTAAATTTTTGTGAAGTCAATTATTTCAACTCGTTGGCATTTGAGAAACTCGATGATTAATTTATATCATGGAGGTCCAAAATTGGGTGTCAACAGATAATATAATTAGTAGACATTTGACCATGTGAAATCATATTATGATACGAAATCGTGAAAGGAAATCAACGTTTGAACATGCAATCTTACGCTAATTGATTTTATCTCATAATTTTATATCATGAGATAAAATTTTATACTCTTCAAATATCATGATATGGGAATTGGCTCCGCCCCTGTACATATAAGTGATAATTAATGCTACCCTTTAGATCCAACCTTGTCCTACGTGTGGATAGGGATGACAATGGGGCACGGTGGTGTGGGTTTAAGGCTACTCGGGGCGGGGTGGGTTTAAGGTTGTGCAGGGTGGGTGGAAGTGAGTTCTTTTTAAATTAATGTGGGGCGGAGCAGGTTGCGGGTATATGTAATTTCACGTGGGTCAAAACTTAATTTTAATTTTTTACATGTTATAAAAGTGATATAACATTATTTATTAAAATAACTTTTAGACGTAAACTATTTTGAATGACTAAGAAAGTAGAAAGAAGAAAAAATTATCTCACTTCTTGTATTTAATATTTTGTTATTACATCAAATGTAATCAATTCAAATCCATAAAAAGAAATGTTGCTGGCAAATTAAAAGAGTTATAAAACATTATAATGTTAAAATAATGTCATAACATGTTAATATTAGCGATTAACAACTAACAAAATTTTAATTTATTGAGTTAAACTTACTAAGCCTATTATTTGAAATGTTTTTTTACAAAATATGTGAAATGGGACTGAGCAGAGCAAATTTTTGCTGGGTAGACAGAACGGGTTAAAAACAATAAAATATGTTATGTAAAACGAAACCGAACAGGTTGAGATCTTAGCAAATTTAAGCGGGTTTGGCCCGCAACCGCCCCGCCCCGCCCCGCTCCATTGCCTTCCCTACGTGTGGGCTGCTGGCAAATGTCAAATTTGGCGTCGCATGAAAATAACAAATCAATATGTCACCAACTTTCTGTATTTTCAATCCATCACAAGAGTCTCGTGGATAGACTTTTGATTATGATTGATAAGCCAAAGTCAAAATTTTGAGTTATAACATATGATTTTGGGTTTTATTTTTATCATTTGAACTTAAAAACAACACTCTTTTTAATTTATTTAAATACTCCAGAAACTATTTAAAAGTAAATAGATCCAAACAGGCCCTTAAATCTCTCCTTCCCCTTTTATCCACTTAAAACTCTTCTCCAATCAATCATCTCCATGACTAATCCCAACAATTCACAGTACTCCCTTCTCCTTCTGCTTGCTGCCGTACTGACACTAGTCTGTGTGGCAAGCGCCTCTGAGGCAGCGAGCAGATTAGATCTACAAAAAATCACGAGAGAAGAGAGAAATTATATGAAAAAGAAAGTGATTGACATTAGCCACAAGTATGTTCCTGATTTGCCTGCTTATGATTCCAAAAGTGGACTTGGAAACTATATAAAACTTAAGACTAGCATTAAGTTGGGTGATCTGTATAATTTTTCTGTTTTTAAACTTACTACTCATTCTGGTACACACGTTGATGCTCCTGGACATTTCAATGAGACATTATTCGAGTCGGGTTACGATGTTGTTTCACTTCATCTCCAAACTTTGAATGGTAATGTTTCTCCTATGGATTTATTGTTAATTTTCTATAAATTTCTTGTATGTTTGGCTGTCCATCTTTTACTTCTCACTATATTATTTCGAAATGTTCAACAATATTTACTCAATTTATAAGATCAATGAATAATTTATCATGTTAGTACTTATTCTAACCTTGCTATTAGATACTATTCATTTTCAATTTTAGCCCTCTTATATTTAATAAGGGCGATTAGGTAAAATTACATCTATCTATCATGTACTTTTCAGTCAATTGTGGACATCTACTGATGGAGTATTTGCATAGTATCTTACCACTTTAGTGTTGTTATTTTTCTTGGTATTCTTTTTAGTTGCTTTGTATTGTGCTAGTGTGTAGTCATATTTTTTCCCTATTTTTTAAGTTGTCTTTAGGTAACAGTTTCTTATCTACAATGGTAGGGTTATGATAATGAAATTACACTAGGTATATTGTTGGTTTAAATTCGCCATACTAAATACACTTGCTCTTTGCTACAATTTAGCTGTAAAAAAGCATATTTTTGGTGTGAATACAGGTCCAGTTCTTGTAGTAGATACTCCACGGAACAAGAATATTACAGGTGTGATATCCTGCTTGCCTACTTAATTATTTTCTTGTAAATTCGCTTGATCTGTCTCCCTAAATACTATTTTTCACCATGTTCATCAGATGAAGTTATGAGGTCATTGAACATACCTCGAGGAGTGAAACGTGTTCTTTTTCGAACATCAAACACAGACAGGTACTTGTTTGATTTTTCGTCCATTCACTTGTTTAAAGCCTACGCATATAAGTTGTTTGATCGTTTGGTGTTGAATAATGAACATAAACAGGAGGCTGATGTACAAGAAAGAATATGATTCGTCGTATTCTGCATTCACCTCAGACGGAGCAGAGTATTTGGCCCAGAATACTGACATCAAACTCGTTGGTGTTGATTACTTATCTGTTGCCATTAGTCCCAAGGATGAGCTCCTTAAAGTTCATCAACATCTTCTTAATTCTAAAGTAAGTATAACATCCGTTTTCATAATTACAACATAGCAAGCCTAATCTATAATTTCGTATTCAGTTAAGGATTCTCTGTTATATAAATGCATCAGGATATTATTCCAGTGGAAGGTCTCAACCTCGATGATGCAGTCCCAGGAGTTTATACAATTCACTGTCTACCGTTGAGGCTGGTTCATGGAGATGGTTCACCTACCAGGTGCATCCTCTTCCAGTAATAATGTAAAGACAACTGTGATACTTTTCATGGATAAAATAATACGTTACGTTGTGTGAATACAAAATTTCCAAGAGGAATTTAAATTCCTTTAGCTTGTCTACCCATGAGATTATGCAAATTTCGTTCTGGGTACTAATAAAAATGAATGTTGAGATCGTACTGATGTTTATTCTCATTATTACATGGTGTTAGCGAACAAACAAGTACAAGATTATAATTGAAAATAAAATGAAGATATGCGCGAATATTTCGCTCTCTTTAAAGAGATTCAATGTCACTGCATCAAATGTTTTCACCGGTCCAGCAGTAATCTTCTTTGATTTGTCCCCTCCAGGATACAAAAGTCTTGACAAAGTATAACTCATACAACTCTGGTTAAGAGTTGAGTCCAAAGCTCCTTTCAACTAATAAGAACTCTATTTTTTTGACTAACTCTTATATTCTATATTTTTCTTGTATGTTATGTGTGTCAACAAACCAAATGAATATCACTACAATTTATACTAGAAGAAATCTTCCTAATAATGAATAAGAAAATAATGTTGTAATAAATAGTGAAAATAAATGATCTAAAAATTACATATGTTACAAAAAATAATAAATAATTAACAAATGAGATAATGGAAAAATAATATGGAGAAGTAATGGTCATAGTTTACAACCACTCATTCTGCCAAGAAACCCAACGTTCAAATGCAATTGATGTATTCTTCAACGGTCAAACTGTTAGCATAATTCAATGTGCAAAGTAATGCACCAAAAAATAAGAGTAATAAGACATTACATTTTCCTCCATTCTGTCTTAGTGGCAAACGGTCACAATAAAAGCATTGTCAATGTCCCAAAGCAATGTGGATTTTATAATATTAAAATAGGGAAAAGGGTCTGATATACCCCTCAACTTTGTCATTTAGAATTGATGACCTCTCGTTATAAAAGTGGCTCATATATACTCCTACTTGTAAATAAATGGTCCAATACTCTTTTCCTCTAACGGGAATGAAAAAAATAATAATTTTAATCTAAATTTTAATTATTTTTTTCTAAAAAATATAATCCCATATGAGTAAATTTAATCCTTGTCAAACATATTTTTTTTGACTTTTTTTTTGTTTTAATGACTAATTTATAATTATTATTTTGATAATCAAATTTATTTATGTTTCACTAATATTCTTGTAAAACTTATTATAGATGACCAAATTTTTTCTTCGAATACGAAATTAAATTACAATACACACAAAAAAATAGTTTAATTTTTTTTCTTTAAACTAAGGAATGAAAGAAAAAATAAAATAAGAATAAAAAACTCAAATAATTATAATAAAAGAAGTCAAAAAATAATTTATGTATGAAAAAAATTAAAATATACCTTGAACTTTGATAAAAGAATCATATATACCCCTAAATAATTTTTTTTAAAAAAATAGAAGTAACAAATATAAATTTAAAACTAATTTTTTAGTTTTCGTTAAATAAAGGGTATATGTGAGCCATTTTGTAACGGCAGAGGTATATGTGAGCCGTTTGTATAACGGTAAGGGCATATATGAGCCACTTTTATAACGAGGGGTATATCAGCTCTAAATGACAAAGTTGAGGGGTATATCAGACCCTTTTCCCATTAAAATATTCACACATTAACAATTTTCTACTCGTATTAATATTAGACAAGAGAGTATATCAGCTGAAGGAAGAATACTATGCATAATGAAGGTGTGCTTTGCATTGAATCTCCATTTAGTGAAACAATAATTTTTATTTCAGAATCGTAGTGCTCTCAGACTTAAACTATGACTGCTTAAGGGAAATAAAATATCACTGCTCACACACAATAATCAAGGTGTTGACATGATCTTTAAAATTCAGCATGTTATGGTTATGTGCTATCACGGTTTCATGATTGCTTTTGAGAATTAGCCAAATTCTCAAAGGAAGCGACCTACTTCCACACATCACATAGGTGAAATCTATCGAGAGTGCTCATGTAAGCTTAACACTCCACCCATATGAGCTACATATATTCATTAAGAGTTTTATCAAATCAACCTTTAGAAACTACGGGAAACAATACACTCACATCATATGGAAGGAATAAAAAGATAGTGCATTTTTCACAATAAGTCATCATATGATTAGTTTTTCCTTTTAAACCTTGTTATATGATATCTAGATTCGATGTTGGGTTTCCTCATTTATGACTTAAGGATTTGTAGGCTTCAATCTCATCCCCCCTCGATGTGCTCCAGACATTTTCTCTTGTTAAGATCTAAGTAAGAGGATCTACAAAATTATCACAAGACTTGACATAATCAACATTAACGGTACTATTTGTCAATACAATCTTTCATTAATGTGTTTACTCCTTAGAGGTTTGGATTTACCGTTGTAATAACGATTTTAAATTCTACCAATTGTTGCAGTGTTACCACAATGTATTAAAATAGGAGGAATTGTTTTTTCAAAATAAGGTATTTGAACTAATAAATCTCTTAACCAATTTACTTCCTCATTGGCTGAAGCTAAAGCAATTAGTTCAGCCTCCATGGTAGAGTTAGCAATTATAATTTTTTTTTGATCTCCAACAAATAGCACCACCACCTAAAGTCAAGACATAACCAGTGGTGGAACAGGAATCACCTGATAAAGTGTTCCAATCTGCATTACAAAAGCCTTCAAGTACAATAAGATATTTGTATAGAACAAACCACAATTTTTCTTTCCAATTAAATATCTCATAACTCTTGTTACAACATGCCAATGTTCATTATCTGACTTGTTTCTAAACATGTCGAGTACTCCTACTGCAAATGCAATATCAGGCCTAGTGCAATCAATCACATATCTCAAACTTCCGTTTATACCAACATATTCCTTTTGATTTATTACATCATTTTCACTTTCAACAGGTAAGTGAACACTTTAATCAAAAGGAATAGCACCATGCTTTTATTTTTTCAAAATTTTCTCAATATAATGTGACTGGTCAAGGAAAAATTCCTCACATGTTCTTGTTATTTTTATTCCAAGAATAAAATTTATCTCACCAAGATCTTTCATATGAAAATGGCTTCTAAGAACATTTTTAGCTCCATCAGTAACACTCATGTTAGAGGCAAAGATCAACAAATCATCAACATATAGACAAATAAGCACATGTAAATTATTCCAAGACTTATGATATATGCACTTATCACACTCTTTAAAATCATTTTCAATTATGAAGGATTCAAACTTTTTATGTCATTGCTTTGGTGCCTGTTTCAAGCTATACAAGGACTTAGTAAGTTTACATACTTTGCTTTCTTGACCTGCTTCAATAAAAGACTCGGGTTGTTCCACATAAATTTTCTCATTAGGTCTCCATTTAAAAAAGTTTTACATCCATTTAATGAACTTGCAAATAAAAAATTGTGGTCATAGCAATTAAAAGTCTTATGGTTGTAATTCTTGTTAACGGAGAAAAAGTATAAAAAATTTTTAGGCCTTTTAGTTGTTTAAAATATTTTGCAACTAGCCTAGTCTTGTATTTATCAATAGAACCATTCAATTCCAACTTTTTCCTTAAGATCCATCTACAATAAATTATTTTACAACTCGATAGCAAATTAACTAATTTTCAAGTTTTATTAGAAAATAGTGATTCCATTTCATCATTCATAGCTTCTTTTCAAAAAATTAAGTCATGTGAAGATAATGCTTCTTTAAATGTTAGAGGGTCATCTTTAATATTAAACACATAAAAATTAGGATCAAAAACTCTTTTTTAGTATAGCAAAATTAGCAGCTAAAGTTGCACCGGAAGGAGAGAGCTCTCCGAGATGACCAACAAACATGACAAATATCAACAACGAAAGTACAACATAAAACCCACAACAACCAAAGGTCGTGCTAATTCCAATTGCTTCTGTAGCTCTTTAATAGTCTCATACATATCACATCATCCCTTGATGCCATTTTCAGGATTCTTTTCATTAATGTTGGAAAGAACAGGAAAACCAAGGAGTTCCAAGTTTTTTTCATTGATCATAGTTTTATTTTATCACCACAAATTATGGCAAGAACTAATTATGACAATAACAAATCTCAGTCAAATTATGAAGGTTCATATAAGTACTTGGTTTCAAGATTGAGTTATATATGTCCATATTAATATCTATGTAATTGTCCTGATAAAATGATTTGGTCCAAGGCAATATCCTATAAATACAAGTCACTTTTGAAAGGAAAAAAAAGAATGAAGAAAATCGATGCTTTTAGATTAACAGATAAACAATCATGGTTTGTATTTTCTCATCAACCATAAATCATAAGAGTCAAAATTCTCTTTAACAACTCGGTTCGCCTTTCCTACAGCGAATCTTTTCAACGAATTTAGTTTTACTTTTTTTACCGTTCTCTTCATTAAATATGCACAAAGAACAATCCGAAAGAAACGTACAAAATTTTCAAAAGCAATATTCAATAATGGGTTGGTGCAATTGGAAGACGAAAAAGCTTGGTAATAGGTTAGCGCAATACACGTGTAAGCAATAGTCCAAGGCAAAAGTACCACTCACATTACATTTATACAATTTTAGAATGCAATGTTCATCCCTAGCCTTGTTGGCTGGTAACATAATAATGGTACAATTTTCTTAACTTTTAGTATAATTCTCTGATGATGCTGTATTAGTCTATTCCAACTCCCACTTATATATATATAATATATATATAAAATATATATATATAATATATATATATATATACTAGATGGGGAGGCCCGTGGCAAGCATGAGCCCAATAGTCAAAATATCAATTTATCATGTTTAGATTATTATACTTATTTTTGTGCTTGTTCAGTTATGTTTTATTTCAACTTTCTATCCTACATGCTCAGTACTTTCAAGTACTAATGCATATGTGCGCTACATTTTCACGTGATATAGCTTCAAGTTCTCAGCATCCAGATCACGCTTAGATCGATTCCGCATCTCCAGTTCATGAGAATCAGTAGTGAGTCCTCATTCTCCGAGGACAATAGTCATGAGTTAATTTTAGTATTTTAGTCATTTAGTTTCAGTTTTTACTAAACTTAGCTGGGGTTTGTCCCAACATTTCTAGTCAGTTCGAGACTTATTTGAGACATAGTTAGTTTCAGTTTAGTATTGAGTTAATAACTTC